TTTGATTATACGTGTCCGGGTCCCTATATGTGTTTTATAATTTATATATTACCATTTTTTTGGGGTTTTTTATAGGAGAACAACTACTGGCCCCCCCCCCCCCCCCCCCCCGTCAAGTGTTGTGAACTAGTCTAGATTAACAGGTGTAAATAGCTGTTTTATATTGTCCCGCCTCCTCTTTCGGGACTACTTCTAAGAGATAAACTCCCTACTGCATTAGATTCCAATAATACTATCCGAGAGTCATTGGTATCTATTGATCGGCTAAGCACTTCTTTAAGCAGTAGCGAAACATCTAAAGGGCTGCTTGGTAGCTCATCCAGGGCAAAGGCTATCTCGGTGTAGTCCACGTTCCCGGTTTCGAACTGTGCCCCAACTCCTTGGAGAGGTGGCCGTTCTTGACAGTATGTTCGGGGATGAGACATCCGAATACGACGATGTGAGCATCGGAGGTGATGGGCTATGGTATGGTTGGGTTTGCGAGACTAGGTTGAGGTTAGCTCTCTGGCAATGACTATACCGTATGCGTTGATATTATACCTGATGGAATATATTAAGGGGTAGGTTTCTTGGTATTGGTATTAAAGCTGTGATAAGAGAGGGGTGGCCAACGAAACCCTTTGGATTACGGGCATCTCTTCAAGGCGGTGGTTGTAGGCAGTGATTAGTGATAGTAGGAGGTAATATGTACTTGGACTGCGATGGTAGATCGACGACGGAAGGATTTGCTGTGGAACGAAGACTACGGCATCGTCAATTTAAACGCTGGATAAGTATTATAGATTGTAAGGAAGACTACCTAGCTAACACTGGATAAATAAAGGGAAGGGGAAGCTGTTGGACAGCAATCCCGACCCAAGTGTGTGAATACGATGACAAATACCGTCATACCGTCAAAATATTTGACGATACTGGCGAGTAACAACCATCCTCCTACCAATTCTAGTAACCGAACTTAAATTATCGCACATCAGCGGCGCGCCGTCGTGCAAGAAGTCGGAAATTATGATGGGTTTGGGGGCCAGCTGAGAGTAAGGCAAGTTTTGACTAAGCCCAAAAGGAGAATTTGGAATGCCGCCTTATCGCCTTATCGCCCTATCGCCCTATCGCCCTATCGCAGCCCCAATCCGCGCAGCACATCAGCTAAAGGTACCTAGGTACTCGAATAGAAATGAGCTGAGGGAATCGGCAGGCTTCGCAGTGCTCCGAACGCACAGATAAGGAATTGCGAACCTTCCTCGAGGCGTGGTGTGGGGACTATTATAAGCCCACCAATCAAAACGCTTTCTATATCTCAAGCTGCAAAGGGTTTAGTTACATACCAAACAGCCGGCCAGACAAGGGTGTGTTTAAAAGTGGAGCATCTGAAAACAGGGAGGGAAGGCCTAAAGTGAATTTCATATTCTCTCATCAATGTTCCCTCCATTTGCAAAGCATCCGGTACCTTTCCAGATTTCACCAACCTACATAGGTAGTATCATCAGCCAGTCGACTTGCTCGACAAAATACAAGTCCGTTTGCCCATCTACTCATCTACCCATCTATTCACCTGCAGGTATATTCTTGGCGACGCGCAATCCTAGGTGTGACGAGCGTGTTCCGGGCATCATGATTCGAACAAAGAATATACTCTTTGCTGCTGGGTGAGCTTTGCATGCCGCCTGTTTCTGACCGCCTCTGCCCTTGCAATTCTGTCATTCGCGGACGCGATTTCGCTCGTTGCCACCTCATCTTTCATCGGCCTTGCTTCCCCAACTCCTTCTACTTACTCACCATGTTGCCTAGGTATGTAGCTACCTAACGTATGTAGGTAGTCCGACACTTATCCATATTTTCTACCTATTATATATACTACCTATTATATATACTACCTATTATATATACTACCTATTATATATACTACCTATTATACGGGGCTACATACATGTAGTTAGTACGACAGGGGTCAAGGAGAGAAATGCGCGGCTTTCCTCAAACGGCAATGCTGAATCGGAGCTGATAATCACACGTTGCTTAATGAGGGAAGTGGTTTCAGCAGGCGCTGAAATCGGACTATTCCCTTCTCTGACGAGAAATGCTTGTGCGGAATATACATATGAGGCAAGTCAGAGGAGAAAGAGGCAGTGAGAGAAACGACGCTTGTATCTGCAACACTCAATTAGCCCACACAGAATAGCCTGCACCCCAATGAACGGCGGACGATGGACGAGACCAAAGTTTCGCCTAGACCGTCTCGGCACTTATCAATGCACTTGAGAAACATGACGTTCCTAACTCGGGAAGTGATCAGCAAGAGTGTCGATGCATGTGCCGGATCATATGGGTCGACGTCCGATTCCCTCCCGCATGGCTGCGTCTTCTTACAAAGTAAAATTTTTTTTCTCGGGGTGGCCTAACACCCTGTTTCCCGTCTGATGCTATCTGATGTCCCAGACAGATATGGTATCGCTATAGTCTGTGTATAGGGAATGCTGGTTTTAAGAAGAGCCATATTCGTGATTTGAACCGATTGCTACCGCACCATTTAAAAATTAGGGTGGTTGAAGAAAAAAACCGATGGAGATGAGGTGAAGCGGAGCGGAGCGAGCAACGTGGGGATGATGGTCTAGAGCATGTGGGAAAAAAAAAGGTCAGCCGAAACAAATTACATAGACGGCTGTTTGGAGCTGATGCTAGGCTGTTCTTAGCGGCAAGTAAATTACCGGGCTGAGGCGGTCGGGTGGCCGCTAGGGTTGCGCACTGGCGTTGAGGCTTTATCTGGCTGACTTAGGTCCATATGGACAGGTACTTGGGTACTATGTATTGTACAATACTCTAGGTTACCTACATACATACCTATGTAATAGGTACCCGGCTGACGACCTACTTGGCGACAGAGTTCTCCAAGTTGGGGGCGACAATAGCGGACGGCGGACGCATCTATCCATCTTATCCTATGTAGGTACATGTATGGCAGATTCCTCCGGATGCGCCCCCGAACGACTTGTTAGAGTGCTGATAAACGGTTTCTGCTGTTCTACTGCCTGGACTACGTACATTGGTAGGTGATGTACCTATCATCTTACATTCTCACTCATCACTGCAGAATGTAACTATAGATATAAGACGGAGCCTTCTGCATACATACTTCGTATATATGTACATAATATCTATACATAATATCTACCTATGCCTACTCATCTGTATACTCATTTCTTATTGGCATCTGCGTGTGATAAGACTCTAGTAATTCGGATGTCGCCTCAAATTTGACGACGCGACTTATATAGATGGCGTCGTATAATAATAAAAAGGTGATAACAAGTACCTAGGTTAACACGTGCGCTTACACAAATATTCCCTTTAGGTGACACCCCCCGGGGCCGCGAACTATTGTACATGCAGAACCGGAGAAGCTGATACCTACCCATACCTACCCATCAGCTAGATGCTACTGTCGGTAGATAAGAGCAATTGACTAGCATGGGATCAATGGTAACGTGATTAGTCGTCATCTCTCATTGGTCGAACACTCCCTGTTACCCTTTCTTCCCTTGGGTTTTTCATATCATTGTGCCACCGTACCACAGCTCAAACCTGCTGAAGTTACAATCACTCTGTCAGTCTGTGAGCACTAGCATTGATCAGCGTCAACTCAAACTAGAGCTGGACATCCAGCCGTCAAGGTTTCCCGCCTGTCATGTATGCAGCTGCCGATTGAAATGTAAATCCGCGCGTGCTACCTCACAGTTATACTCCACCGATGTGGCCAATAGCTCTCGGCTTATCCATCATGGAGACGGGACTGCTATGGAGCATTCCAATAACCCTCGCTCGTAAGCAATGCTTAGCCGCCTGGAGAAACATACATAGGCGGATAATGATAGGTGGAGTGTAAGTATCCAGCACATCCAGCACATCCAGCACTGTTGCTATTTGTGTGCTCGCTACGCTACGCTACCGTGTGTAGTGGATGAAGGGAAGGACGGACACCAAGCGAATCCAGGGAGAGGTTAGGTTAGGTTAGGTTAGGTTAGGTAGGGCTTGTCTATTTAATTAGGAAGGGATACGGAGTTTAGATGACGCGGGCAAAGGTCTCGATCTGTTAAGTAGTTCTCTTGGTACTATAATACTAAACAATATATGTATGCAGTGTAGAAGGGCTCAGCTAATAAAAATGATAACGACGTCGGTGGTGGTTTGTTACACCTTCACACACTTTACATATATACCTACCACCTATATACATACATACACACATACACACATACACACATACACACATACACACATACACACATACATACATACATCATACATGTCTAGACACAACTTTGGCCAAGGTGGTAGTTAACACGGTGGCCCTAGTAGCACGTTGTCGGAAGAAAACGACGCAAGAAAAAAAAAGAATTTACGGCATCTTATTAGTCGCCTACCTCGAGCAACTTTTAGCCAGGGCTTTAGCTGGACCATCTTAGTCCAAATTAACAAAGGGTTCGACTATAATACATAGTAATGTCCAACGGCCTTATTTCTACCACACACCCCCTGTCCGCTAACTTACACGTTTGGACTAATGTACTCGGTACCTAACCAAATAGGTATAGGTATCAGTTACCTAGGTAGGTAGTCTATGCACTGTATATCCAGGTAGGTAATAAGGGACACTTCTGTTCTCCATATTATATCTCGTACTTTTTATCTTCTTCCTTTCTCTGCTTCGGCGTCTTAGTATTTTTAATTTCGAAAAACGAAAAAAGTAAAAAGTGTTGCCGTCGTCTTAGTTAGTTGACTTAAAGTTTAAGCTCGCCATCTTATAACCAACTTCGTATTAGCTCTTATGATATACATACGTAAATTGCGTAAGTCGTCCTTCCCACGGATCGTGATCCAATGGTCGGTATGTAGTCGATGCCCATACCGAAAACAATGTGTATTGTACATAGGTAGTTACCTACATACCTACGCTACATTACATACATACATAGTACATACATACATGTAGGTAGATATACTGTACCTAGGCCTCGAAGGTGTCGACGCTCCGCACCGACCTCCCGAATACCCCGGCAGCCCGGGAGCTAGAATCCTTGCAGGGCGTTGCACCTTGCTTTTACACCTTGCACCCCCTTCCAACTTCCGTTCAATTGCGCGTTCGGGCTACCTACCTATGTAAGTGTAGAGAGGTATTGTACAAAAGTAATAATAATAGTTAATCATATATATATTTTTCCCCCTTTCCTCTTTTGTCCTGCGCTTATTACTTACCCTTTTTACCCCCTTCTCTATTCCAAGAATCGTTTATGTTATCCCAGGGGATAATTGTGCAGCAGCTGGTTCCATGCGCGTGTAATCTGCCGCCGTAGTGGTCGCCCCACCTTCCTGTCAACCTAGCCAGCCATTTTTTACTAGGTAGGTACCTACCTACCTACCTATCTTCTTGCTTGTCTATCAGGTCCAGTCTGCTGCTTCCTCGATCGCGACGACCCCAAAAGTTATTAGCCAATTTGCCCTCAAACCTAAGCCTGCTATCTTTCATCATTTTCCCCCTTCTTCTTCCTCTCTTCTGATTCCGAGATAACTTGCGGGAAAAAGGGGAAAAAAAGAAGAGTGAAGTTGAAAAATTATTCCCTTCCTTTCCCTTTTTACCTTTTTTTATTTTATTACCCCCACAAGAAAACAGCTAGATGTTCAAGTTCACATCCCACCCCTCGCGACATAGTCCCCGATAGGCGTCCTGCAGCCAATCTTTAAAACTTGTTGTTG